TTGGCCACACTGCGAAAGGACGACAAGCGGATAATTAATATCTTGATTCATGGTTGTCGAACCCATCCTGGATAAGACCGAGAGGCTGGCCCACAACTTTATGGCTGGACAGCATCAGAGACGAATTGTCGGATACGCAGATGGGCCACAGCTACTGGCGAACTGCAAGCCAAACATGGCACAGTTACTGACTTGCAATCATGTCTGATATTGCCCAGGATAGAATACAATGGTAAATAATGACAAGAAGCGTGGGGATGCCGTAACCCCCTTGCGATATCCAATAATGCAAGTATAATTCAAGACTTTATACGTAATCTTATTTAGTTCACATTTAATAAGGAACATTCAGTCGTCGCTTGAAGTAGAATCATGCTATTAAACAGTAAGCCTGGCCATTGCTCACTTCATTTTTGGTTCCATCCAAATTAAAGAATGTAAGCAACCATGCAACGTAGCGTAATCGTGAGTGAAGCTTCTGTTAACTTGGGACTTAACCCTCAATTACCACCAACCAATTGCAGTTACATTTATCCAAAAACCTGACTGCGTCACCTCTGGTAAGAACTCAATGAAAATGCATAGCTGTCCAATGTATTATACTCTGTAAAACGCATGTAAGCATTGCAGGTCTAGGTAGTGAGTAGAGGGATGATTATATGCATTCATAGAATTTTTCGCCTAGAATTGTCATTGTTCCTCAACATGCTTTACTGGGCTAACTTAGCAAGCTGTGTCAGTACTTCATTTTTTACCACGAAACTATATACTTTTGAAGCTTCTCGTAACGCAAAGAATCTTAATTTTAGGATGGAAATGAGCGACAGAAGAAATTGACGGTCGTGAATGGTGAAGAAATTTCGATGAGCTACTTCGATTTCAGCGCGAACGTTGGCGAGCGATTGGATGGTTACGTGTGCTTCTCGGAGGGTCCGAGGGAGTTCTGGTTTCGACCGAAGAAATTCGAGGAGTTTCTGAACGACTTGGACAACATTTTGCAGTTGTACTACGAGAATGGGGGACGAGGATCACTGTTTCCATCGTTGAGCGACTGCCAGTTGCTGAAGGTCGGCATACCGTGCGCCGCCAAGCTGTCTGTGAACGACCGGTGGTGCCGTGCCCGTGTGGCGAATCAGATGGGCGTGGTGCAGTTCGTGGACATTGGCCACAAGCAGTTGTGTCTGCTGGAGAGCATCAAGCCGTTGGCCCGTCAGTTCTCCGAGTTCATGAGTCCTGCGGCGGTTCATTGCAAGGTTGTCAATTTTCAACAGCTGTCCACAGCGGGCTATCCAAAGCTGTTCGATCCTGTCGCCATCATTATCCGCAGTAAGGTCGAACCTTACAGGGTAACCGTCGAAAGCCTGATCTCACCGCCGACCAGTATCTGCAGACGTTTGTTGAACAGGCAGGTAAAAAGCTGAAAAACACCAGTTACGGCAACTAGTCACACGATGTTGCTTCAGTGATGACTGTATTTTAGCCACTGGCCACCATCGGCGGATACAAGCTGCAGCCGATACGCGGAGCGCCCAGTGCGTGTGCAGTCGTAATTATTCTGGTGCTTTTGGCTCGTTGTACTGCGTTGACCATTGTTGACCATTTAGAAAGCTTTACACCAACGTACATTTATCATGAGGACTTATCCTCCATGTTTAAGCCGTTTGATTTGTAGTTGATTGTAACCGTCGCAGTGTAAACCTTTCTTTCACTTTTCTGTGACGGGGCTATTTAATTTTTCGTACTCTTCCTTTAAGGATCATGTGGCGCGCTTCTTTGATCTCCGTTTCTTTGCCATCACCCAGGAGCTTCGTGTTTTATGGAAAGTGTTTACAGCTTTCTGGCAGATATGGCGTAGAGTCTGTTGTTTTCTTTCCCACAAAGTGATACACGTTCATCTCTCTTAGAAGGATGAGTAGCGTAACACCCAACCAGAACTAGAGCTTGCAGTCTTCCCACCGTGACTCCAGTGCTCTTCCTGTTGAACAAACCGTGTTTGCTCATGAATCATTTGAGTCATTAATCAAGGACGGCTACACTTCATTCAGAATTATTGCTGATGTTAAGATTCTGCTAAACTTTTGTGAATGTGTGAAGATTGATTTCGAAAAATCCTCGAGAGAAGACTCAAGAAATGCTGGTAAATAAAAACAGAATGTTGCAGTTTGACAAAACGTCGATAATGGATCTTGATGTCCCCACCTGTTTCATTTGAATAGGGTAGTATGGCATCTTCTGTTGTTGACGGTCCCAGACCCGGATGAGAAAAGAGATATGTTGCAGACCATAGCGAGATTTCCGTAAAACGCAGCCAACGGAATTGCAATCAACAGCATATCGACTCGGCCTTCGCCCGGGCTACCAAGGAAGGGAAGCTCAATCTGTCGAAGGACTGAGGCACGCTGCGAAAAGTCGACCATCACATATTGCTTACCGCCTTCCGGCATCCGGGGCATAGCAGCACGACAACGGCTGGAAAAGATCGATGAAACGACGACGAAGATACTAATCAACAGCGAGTCTGTATCCGTTCTGAACGGAGGAGGCAGATTGCGCGATGCCATTAGATCACGTCAGAAAAGGCTCATCGAGAGCGGGAGCTTACGGTCAGAAATTGGAATATGTCCTTACTCAGAAAGAAAGAGCAGAAGTTTGTTGATGAGGCCAGTAAGTACCAACATCGACACTGTTGGGCTCTCGTCAACAAAACGCCCGGGCTCTGGACTCCTGATCCTCAATGGATGGAGGCTGTTCTACTCCGGCTAGAAATTACGACTCGAGCTCAGGCCGGTGTTGGTGTTCTGGTAGAACCCAACCTCGCCGATAGAATAATCGATTGGAAGCCTATCA